AATTCCTCCGTGCCTCCTCGCAACTCGCATCGGTCGCCCCCGTACTCCGGCACGCTCGAACCCTCCGATTTCCCTCGGTCGATTCTTGGATCTCGCCGCGCTGCTGATTGTCTGATCCTTCGGGAGGGGGGGTTCCTCGCTGTCCCTCTTCCATGGAGGCGGCGGGCTCCAGTTCGTCCCGGCCGCCGAAGCGCCGCCGGCCCGGGCTGCGTCCGTCGGCGCCTCTGGAGGTGGCCGGCGCGAGGACGCCGTACATGCCGTCCCTCTGCACCAACTCCAAGAACCCGTCCACCAAATGCTACGTGAGTTGCCGCGCCGGAAACCCCCTTTTCTTGGCTCCTTCGCTTGTTGAATCCCTTGATGGTTGCCGTGCGCTCGCTAGTTCTTGAAAGGAGCCCGTGCTTGCGTCCTGCCTTGCCACGCTTAGGCGATTATTAACGGGATGCCATGAAATTAATTTTCTGAAAGAAATATGACCGCGTATTCCAGTTCTTGGTTATTTGGTGGTTCTTGATGTTGCTAGGGCAAACGATTTGATTAGTGGCTAATCCTAGGCTGTCTTGCTTTAATAATATTGCTTCAGGAAATGTGTGATCGCACCCCAGCTATGGACGTGTTAGCAGTTCTGAATTCAAGGAACGAATATTTATCGCCTTTTGTTATGGGGCTGCTGTTGATTGGTAGCATTGACGATATGTTGTCAGGAAATTGTGCTTGCGTCCTGCCTTGCCACGCTTAGGCGGTTATTAACGGGATGTTTGGTCATTTCTGAAAGAAATATGGCCCCGTATTCCAGTTCTTGGTTATTTGGTGGTTCTTGATGTTGCTAGGGCAAACGGTTTGATTAGTGGCGAATCCTAGGCTGGCTTGCTTTAATAATATTGTTTTAGGAAATGTGTCATCGCACCCCAGCCATGGACGAGTTAGCAATTCTGAATTCAAGGAACGAATTTTTATCCCCTTTTGTTGTGGGGCTGCTGTTGATTGGTAGCATTGACGATATGTTGTCAGGAAATTGTGCTAACTGAATGAACATATCGTCTTACTAGTGCTGCATCTGTAAGAAGTATGGTCCGTCTTTTTGAGCCAAACTACCTGTGTTCGTACAGTTCCTGCTCAGTGCTTTGTTTGAAAGGACTGCTTGTTGAAACACAAAACACTGTGGTTTCACCTTTTTAAAGCTCGGCGTAATCACTTCATTTGTTGCATAGAATTTGTTAGCCCATTTTGTAACAATTTTTCAAGGTTTATAAACTTGTCCGGCTTTGGACTGCAATGCTCCATTCTAGATCTCATTATTGTTGGTGTTACCAACAACAACCTATTGAAATTGTAAGATCAGTTGATCACAGGGCACCATGCATACTAGTGTTTATTTGAAGAAAAAGATTTGGCCATAGATGGCTAATTCGGTACATTTGTTTAAAAAAGAATAATCATTCATGTCCTGCAAGTTGCTGGTCATAAATTTAAAATTTTTTTACACAAAAAGGTAGAGCATACAAACAATTGAAACGGTAAAAATATCTATTTTTTTAAACACAAGCATCGCAGGACATTTTGAATTTATTTAAAAGGTCGGCATGATTTCTTGATTTTTTTCCTAGCCCCATTTTGTGTTTCATAAATATTTCTAAAGATGTCCACAATTGTATGGCTTTAAAATGCAATGACCTTCTAGGTCTCATTGTTATTGGTATTATCAGCAGTACTATTGAATTTGTATGGAAAGGTACATAGCGGTCCTTTTTTCAGCACTTGATCTGTCGAATAAGAACATTGCCCTCATTCGGTACATACGGTTGTGAAGGAGTAATCCTTCATAAACTGCAGTTTATTTTCGGTAGCTCAGAAAATTGCATTCTCTATGCCAATTGTTTGGATTTACTGCAGTTATTGCTATATCATGTGCCCTTCATTTTAAACATGGAAAAGTCATCCTACACAGCGGTCCTTTTTTCAGCACTTGATCTGTCGAATAAGAACATTACCCTCATTCAGTACATACGGTTGTGAAGGAGTAATCTTTCATAAACTGCAGTTTATGTTCAGTAGCTCAGAAAATTGCATTCTCTATGCCAATTGTTTGGATTTACTGCGGTTATTGCTATATCATGTGCCCTTCATTTTAAACATGGAAAGGTTATCCTACATAGCGGTCCTTTTTTCAGCACTTGATCTGTCGAATAAGAACATTGCCCTCATTTGGTACATACGGTTGCGAAGGAGTAATCCTTCATAAACTGCAGTTTATGTTTGGTAGCTCAGAAAATTGCATTCTCTATGCCAATTGTTTGGATTTACTGCAGTTATTGCTATATCATGTGCCCTTCATTTTAAACATGGATTGGTTGTTTGTTATTTTCACATTGGTGGTATTTTTATTTGATATATTTTCTGCATACATTGATAGTTGCCATAGTTAAAAAAGGCGCGCCTAAGCGAGCGCTTAAGTGCGCCTAGGCTCTAGGCGATAGCAAAACGCCTAGCGCATAACTGCGCTTAATCTGTGCATAAGCATGCACTTTGGTCAGAAATCGCAAGGAGGTGGCAGAACGCACAATTAACGCCTAGCGCTTTTTTGAACTATGATAGTTGTTGTATTCTGCTTAGTAAATAGCCTGCGACATATACCATGAAATAACTATTCATTTTGTTCTGTGTAAACTCCTACTGTATCGTGCCATGTACAGAACTCCTTGTTTCCTTGGATCATAAATTAAACCATGACGCTTTTATGTACGTTCCAGCAAGCACATCACTGCAATATACTAGATGGTGTAATGGTCCTTAACTTTGTGCATAACTTCCCTGAATTTACAATAAATATTTAAAGAAATAGTTATGCCTGATATGTTTATGGGTCTTCTATAATGGCAGGGTGACAGATTCATACCAGATAGGTCAGCGATGGACATGGACATGGCATATTACCTCCTTACGGAACCTAAGAAGGGAAAGGAAAATGAAGCCGTGGTATCACCGGCTAAAGAAGCATACAGGAGGCTTCTTGCTGAGAAACTCCTGGGCAGCAGAACCAGGATTCTTGCCTTCAGGAACAAGCCACCAGAACCGGAAGGGATGCTGCCACAGATTTTATTTGAAACTCCGACTTCCAGTCAGACCAAGCCTACTAAACAGCGCCGAAAGATTCCCCAGGTATGCCAATTGCTTTACTGTTTGTGGATCTTCTGGTTCTTCAGACAACTAGCATTATTCTGTTGGTTACATCATGCTTGGATTGCTTCGTTTTTTCAGTTTGCTGAGAGGACGTTAGATGCCCCTGGAGTGGTTGATGATTACTATCTTAACGTGCTGGACTGGGGAAGCAAAAATTTGGTGTCCGTTGCCCTTGAGAATACCCTGTACTTGTGGAATGCATCTGATAGCTCTACTTCTGAGCTTGTGACTGTTGACGCTGACTATGGTCCCATTACTAGTGTCAGCTGGGCTTGTGAGGGGCAACATATTGCCGTTGGCCTTAACTCTTCTGACATCCAGCTCTGGGATACGAGTTCTAATCGTATGGTTAGTTCTCTTGACACTTTTTTTTCTTGTACTGTAGTGTAAACAAATTGGCTCATACTGATACAAATATATATCTCATAAAATTTGCAGCTGAGAACACTCCGAGGTGTCCATGAGTCAAGGGTTGGTTCACTGGCTTGGAACAGTAGCATCCTGACAACCGGTGGAATGGATGGCAAGATCGTGAACAATGATGTCAGGATGAGATCCCATATGGTTCAGACATACCGAGGGCATGAAGCAGAGGTATGCGGGTTGAGATGGTCAGGATCTTTGCAGCAATTGGCGAGTGGTGGAAACGACAATCTGGTGCACATATGGGATGCATCAATGGCGTCTTCTAATCCATCTCTGGGTCACAATAGATGGCTCCATAGGTTTAGTGACCACTTGTCTGCAGTGAAGGCTCTTGCCTGGTGTCCATTCCAGAGCAATTTACTTGCCTCTGGTGGTGGTGGAAATGATCGATGCATCAAATTCTGGAACACACACACTGGTCTATGTCTGAATTCTGTTGATACTGGGGCCCAGGTATGCGCACTGCTCTGGAATAAGAATGAAAAGGAGCTGTTGAGCGCCTGCGGGTTTGTACAGAAACCACTCACATTATGGAAGTACCCGTCGATGGTTAAATTGGCCGAACTCGAAGGCCACACTTCACGTGTCCTCTGCTTGGCACAGGTATTTATTTCTCTCTCTTGTGGCACCGTATATATGGTAATGATGATTGCTTGCTTATGCTGTTGATATAACATGATTTCTTGGTACTTTTATGTTTGTTGCAGAGCCCCGATGGCCCCACGGTAGCCTCCGTTGCAGCAGATGAGACTCTAAGGTTCTGGAATGTGTTTGGAACTTCTGAAGCACCGAAACCTGCAGCCAAGACCGTACACACTGGAATGTTTAGTTTCAGTCATATCAGATGAAGTTTTATCTGGAATAGGGTTGCGGGTAATCGCCGTATATACTAGTATGAAGAAGCATACAAAAGATGTACATATTCTCTAGTACCTGATCAGCATCCATGTTTTGCGGGAGTTGACCAACTTGGAACTGTAACCATCTTCTGATCTGATTTGCAACTTAACCATCATTTTGTCCAGAGAGAAGTTTACCGCGATTTAGACAAAGCCACCAGGAGAATCACTCTCCTGACGCTAGATTACCTGCAAATATGAGGTCCTAATACATGAATATGCTTTGTCACTTTTGTATGCTGACTCCATCCATGTAGTGTCCTCCTGGATGCCGTCCTAGTGTAATTTTCTCACCTTTGTTTATTTTCCCTGTGATAGTGGAATGACCATGAGTATGTGATAGCATTCCGTTGTTTTCCACGTTGCTTACTGTTTTCTGCTCCTATTGCATTCAAAAGTGTGTTATACTCCCTCCGTCCGAAAGAAATTGTCTCTCAAATGGATGTATCTAACACCAAGTTAATACTAGATATGTCCATTTGAGGGACAGGTTTTCTGGGACAGAGGGAGTAAGGGGCTGTTTGGTTTGTGACTAACTTAGTCAAAGATTGCCACAACTAAGGTTAGGTAAGTTTGACCAACTTAGGTGAGTGTTTGGTTCAAGCCACACCTTAGGTAAGCCACATTTGAATCCCACATGGCATACACACAAAAAGTGTGGCAAGATTCCCTTAGGCTTGCCAACTTGTGGCTCTCATTTTGATGAACTAACCTTAAGCAAATTTGGCAAAAATGTATGGCAAAGTGTGGCAATGCTAGTCCTAGAACCAAACAGCCCTTAACTCTTTGTTTCTGTACTTTTTCCGATAGAAGTTCTAGTCACTTAAAAAACACTACTTAAACTAGATTGTAGAAGATAAGCAAGCCGGTTCGGGCAGCAAGTCCTATTTGAAGATAAGAAGTTGTGTTAATTTTTGCAGGTCTGTATAAAATATGTTAAAGCACAAATATGCTTCATCAGTACAATGAAAATAGTGACATTTGCACCTAAAAAAATTATAATAGTGACATCTAAACCATGTTCTTTATCTTCTTCCAGGATGATTAGTAGTAGGGCCATGTGGACGGATCTTAGTTCCACAATATATATTTCCCTCTTTCCAAATTATTTGTCGCAGAAATGGATAAAAATGGATATATCCAAAACTAAAATACGTTAGATACATCTATTTTCTATGATAAGTAATTCTAGATAGAGGGAGCACATTCCTACACCAACCGAGGACGAAATGGCGAGGAGGAGAGGGGTTTGATTCTACCGTCATGTTGTGTGGATATTAGATCGATTGATGAGTATTGTATTCTAATCGTAGATGAGATCAAGCAATGGGCAATGGCAGGAGCATTAGGGATTGAACGCGGAGCCAGTAATCAAGTGTTGTGCAGGAGAATTAGGGATTGAATGGAAAGAGGAGACGGAATAGGCGGCTGGATAACAGAGGCGTTGGGTGGCGGGAGAGAGGAGACGAAATATGTGACGGGATAACAGAGGCGTTGGGTGAGGATGCATCTCCGGATGCAGAGTATGGCGTTGGTGGCGGCGTGGTAGCACCGGCGGCGAGGGAAAGCGGTGACGGTCGCCGCTAGTTGGTGTGACAGAGGCTGGCCGGACAGCGCACGACGCACCATACAAAGAAAGCCCATGAAGGAATCCTGCGAGCCCAACGTGAGCTCGATCAGCCCTGACTCTAAAGGAATTTTTTTCTATAGAAATTCTATCATATAAAATTCCTCCAAACCAAAGGAGACCTCTCTTTTTTCACATACAGAATGTTGAAATTTTGTTCACTTTCTCGAAAAATGATTCATTTTTAAAATGTTAAACATTTCAAAAAAAAGTTCAAAAAATATCAAATTATCAAATTAAAATCTCTTTCCTGACAAAAATTGCTTATGATTTTGGAAAAATGTTTGTGCTTTCAAACAAATTCAAAAAAATTAAAAAATGTTCGCGTTTCAAAAAAGTTTTCAAACTTTTTAACAAATGTTTTTCGTGTTTTTTGAAAAACTAAATGAAGGAGTAAAACTAAATGAAGGAGTAAAAAAAAAAAACTTCCCTAGAACAATCGGCTTGCTTGCCGACCCGCTTGGTGGAAATGATCTATTTGATTGGAAGAGTGAGGAGAAACAAAAGGGTATACACTTACTGATGGCGGTGGTGGGTATTTTCCCCTCAACTTCAGCTTGTAGAGTCTTTTGGAGCACCCCTGAAGAGCTTCACAAAAAATTAGGAGTTGTATCACAAATTCTAGTTTTTGCAGAGTGGCGAAATGTGGAGCTACCCTATTTGTCTTGCGTTTTCTAGGGTGGAGCTAAATTTTAAGGAGCATAGTAGTCCCTTAGTTTCCAGATCCTATGTTTCTAACATGTATCCTTGTAAACATTCCAATGCAACAAAGTTCTCCCGTCAGGCAAAAAAAAAAAAGATTTCTCACGCCAGATACTAGCTCGAGCATTAATGATTGAGCAGATTTTTCTAACGCAAGGCAAAAACTTTACCTATTACGTTAATTAAGAGGACGGTTGTTGCTCGGTTAATTGTGGAAACTAACAAAAACCCGATACATGTAAGGCCAGACCCACTCAAACTCCACGGGATAAGCCCACCATTGTGAGCGACGTTGCCAACCGCACAAAAATAAACTAAACAGTACAAACCACTCCGCCGAACAAGTCAACCTTTCACCACCGCCGGAGAGAATAAGTCGAGACTACTATGCAAGGAGCATTCTCGGGAATCTACCGAGGTGAATAAGGCGTGACATCTATGATTGAGCAGGGTTCACTTCGGTAGAATGATATTAAAATTCATCTTTGACTTGACTTAACTTGGCTGGAGTATTCAGATGATTAATTATCACTATGGCTTTACTTTTGTGTAAGTTCCGGAGTTCAGTTGACTGCCCGAAAGATTCATAATTCTTTTGTATCGGATCAGCATAAAGTATGATTGCTTCCATACTTATTAGCGACCGGTCTCAGTTGTTTAGAAAAATGGAAGTAAAAAAAGGAGTATTGGTATAATTAAGGCTCCTTTGAATCTCAAAGGATTTTCATATGAATTTTGGAGGATTAGAATCTTGGGAATATTCCAATGTTGCTTGTTTTATTCATAGGAATGGATCCTATAGGAATTTTTCCTAAGGACTTTTTGTTACTTCCTATAGGTTTTCTAGCATACACTCAAATCTCTTTGAAAGAAATTCTTTATTTTTTCTATGATGCAATCAAACAATCCAAAATCACATGGCATTGAGATGAACATGACATTTCAATCCTATGTTTGTCATATCCCGTGTTTTTAGAATCCTGCAAATCAAAGAGGCCCTTACTAGTGACCAATCCATTAGCTGGTTATAAGATGTTTCTGATGTATTCAAAAGCTAAGAAGTTTGAAAAACCTAACTGGTCGTTATTTGGTTGCTTAGACGAACAGAACACAAAGAGACAGCCAATCGAAAATACACGACAATACAATGATAAGCTGCAATGGTCTGCTATCAAAGGTGAAGGTCTTAAAAGTTAAAAAGTAAACATAACAAAATTGGTGATGAATAGACAATATACATTTTTAAAGTCTTTGGATCTATAATAAAATATAAAATGTAACAACAGTACAAAGATTCCTAGAGTTAACAAAAATTGCAACCGACCACCCAATAACAACTACAATACAAATACTAAAACGAGTCGAAGACACATCGCTGTCATCCTTCTTCCTCACCGGACTTGTGCAAATCTTGTTGTAGTTCACAATCAAAAAGTTATCGTGCTAAGACTTCAAAGGACCAGTGCACTAAAACAATATACATCGCCGATGAAGAAAAATATAGATTGAAAAAACCAAACATGTAAACACATCAATGACAAGAAACACCAGTCGATTCCAGATGGATCCGTGAAAACAAACACCGACCGTATCTAAATAGATTGGGTGTGTCTAGGGCACATCTAGATGTGCTATAGTTATTGCACATCTATGTAAGTGAATCAAGCATAAAGAGAAAAGGGAAAAAGAGAAAGAAAATATTCATACGAATCTCAATGTAAAATCAATGATATGACTTAGATGTGCAATACTTATGGCACATCTAGATGTGCTTTAGCAAAACTGAAATAGATTTGCCGAAGACCAAATCGGACCGAACCTAAAAAAGATAAACGCACCTCTACGTGCCCTACGAGTCGGAGCAGAGAAAGAACATCGAGGACTATTCTCCGCCAGACTACGAAAAGAGATGGCTCTTGCCCTACTCACGACCAGCAAGCCAGGGGAAGAGGGGAGGGGCCAACGGTGAGATCTGGCGTGGGAGCAAAGGCCACTTCGAAAAGAAAAGAAGAAGAAGATAGTGAATTCCTAATCTACCCCTGGCTGTCTCACTTGTTGTCGCCAAGAGGCGGGCACTCCGCAGCAATTCCCCATTTCCCGCCTCCCCCCTTCCGCCATCTCCCGCGTCTTCTCCTCTCCAAACCCCGAAACCCTAGAGCCCCCCTCGACCCCCCGCCTCCGCCTCCGCCACCGGATCGGCAGCCACCCATGGCTCTCAAGCAGAAGGGGAGCGACGCCGCCGCCGCCGACACCAGCAAGCGCCGCCGCGTCGGCTTCGCCGGCATCGGTACGCAACCCCGCCTTTCCCCCACATCCTCTCTCGATTCGTAGATTTGGTTCTCGAGGTCGGGGTTCGTGCTCGGGCTACGGCCTGATGTTCCCGCGAGCGTGTTGTTAGATTCAGGCGCGCTTCCGCGTAGGCTCGTAGACACACGCACACGGGGCCACTCAGCTGGGAGAGACTGAGGTGCCCTCAGTCGAGGTGTTTGTGCCGCTGTATTCGTGTTCCGCTGGATTCAGACGGAGTGGCCTTTCTTCTCCGGGCAATATCAGTGTGCTTCGTTTTTTTCTCTCTCTTCATTTTGTTCTGTGTTAGTCAACAGGGGGAGTGACCTTGCCA